GCACTGGGGTCCTACTATTTGCCCTTGCCACTTGTCCTCGTCTCCAACATGGACTTGCTTTAGTCACACCACTTGCCCACTTGCCTGCACCACTTGACCACTTGCCAACCTCCTAGAAGGACTGCAGCTAGCCTTCTAATCTACAGGTCTACGGATCGAATCCTGGCTACCTATAGACCTAAGACAGACCTACCTACCACTGGCGGTTCTACAGGTCGCAGGTTCAACTCTTCGAGTTGACGCATCATATTGCTCCGCCTAAATTCATGCCAGGCGTGCAACGTTTCGGGCTATGACTCGCATTTGCGCTGGGAGTTCGGTCTGGGCGGCCAGTTGCTTTTCTATATTCTTTACTTCCTCTAATTCTTCTGCCGCCTCCGCTGCCGCGTCCACTCTCCTCTTCTTCTCCCTCATCACTGCCAACTTCCTCTCCATCCTCTTTTCGTCTTCCAATGCCTGCCGCTTCACAACATCCTTTTCTGCTTCCCAAGTTCTCATAGCGGCTTCCTGATCACCTTTAGAGATATACATCGCCACCTCTTCTTCTTCGCCCAGGGATAAGTTGGCGACCCACTCGGAGATTCGCTTCTCCATCTCTTCATCCCTACTACCACTGCACTGCACCCTCTTCCTCTGCAATGACGTTTCATCTTCTTCCTCCTCTTCCACCTCTTTCAACTTCTCTTCTTCTTCTTTCTGTATCCTCTCCTTCTCTTTGGCCATCTCTTCCTCTATCTTCTTCAGTTTGGCCGCCTGCTCCTCCTTCAAAGCCTTCTTCTTGGCCTCCTTCTTCTCCTTCTTCTCCTGCAGAATGGCGGCCATCTTCTCCTCCTCCTCCTTCGTGTAGGGGTTGGTGGAAGTCCCACCACGAGTGGGCCCTACTCTACACGTGAAAGTGGGCCAAAAGCCCAGAGGAAAGAGGAGATGCCAAAGGGTCCCCCAGAGGGAGAACCCAACAAGTAGCCCATGCATCGGATAGTCATCCATCGTGGTGTTGGTGCACGACAAAGGTCCCACTCCTCACCACGTAGACCTACCCGGACACTCTAACCTACTGACTGACTCCCTAAGGACCACAGGATAAGACCATGTCAATGATGATCACAACTAACCCAAGACTACTCTAAGGCTGTCACTACAGAACCAAGAGCTGATCAGGAGGTATTTAAGAAGATCCCCCAAACTTCCCAAGAATTCTTTAACGTCGCAGATAGGACGACGCGATCAGCTTGGTTCCTCTGGCGATTTCAGCCCACAACTCAGCCCGTCCAGCCTCCTGTGCCACACCGAGCGGCCCGCCGGTCAGTACCGGTCCTTGGAGGGGTTCGTATCCCTCGGGACAGTCGAGTCGTCAGACACGGATCATCAACCTTCTGGGTCCGGTAGGGGAGTGG